GCCTCGGAAACCCAAGGAGGGGTCGCTATGAGTCAGGGCCGACTCGACGGCACATAACAACAACAACAACAGTGGTTAGAGAGGGTGCTCTGGTGGAGTAGTGCCTAAGGCACTTGACTGCTAACCAGAAGGCTGATGGTTCAGTTCAAACCCATCAGCCACTCCTCCAAAGGAAAACTGAGCAATCTACTTCCATAGAGATATGACCTCGGAAACCCAAGGAGGGGTCACTATGAGTCAGATTCCACTTGACGGGAGTGAGTTTGCTTTTTTTTTCAAAAACCAAAAAAAGGAGCTCTGGTGATGCAGGGGTAAAAGCTTTCAGCTCTAACCAAAAGGCTGGTAGTTCAAAGCCACCAGTCGCTCTGTGAGAGAAAGATGAGGCAGTCTGCCTGCATAAAAATTTACAGCCTCAGAAATCCTATGGGCAGTGCTATCTGCCCTATAGGCTTGCTAGGAGTTAGTTTGCAGTGGGTTTGGTTTTTCTGGTTAGTGAGTAGAGGGAGTTCCTACCTGGTGCAGACTTAATTTCAGCTGCTAACTGAAAGGCTGGAGTTCGGGGAAAGGCACCTCGGAAGAGACGCTTGGAATCTACTTCTGAAAACTCAGCCACTGGAAACCCTGTGGAGCACAGTGCCTCTCCGACATATATAGACAGGGTCGTCATGAGCCGGACTGACTCGATGGCAACGGAAAAAAAGCAGATGGAGAGCTTCCATGTGTGGGATACAGATGGAAACTGGAACCCACGGGAAAATTCAGGAGGCCCGTGTGCTAGTGCTCCCCGACACTAACTGGCTTCCTGACCTTACGCAAATCCTGGAACCATCCTGCTCCTCAGTTTCCACATCTGTAAGCTGAGGACGTTGGAAGCTGAATGACCACGGACCTACAGGGCCCTTAAAAACACCAGGATTATGAGATGCTGCTTCAGTAAACGCAGGAGAAGTGAGATGTCTGAAAGGCCTGCACCAATCCTGCCTGTTCTCAGGAGACTTGCTGCTTTTCGTGGAGGGTCCAAGATAGAAACACCTCTCATTGCGTCTTCTTCCTTCTATTTCAGGTGGGCAAATGTGAAATCTCACAAGAATGCCCTCTGAAGGGATTTAAACTGTGAGGTTCCTGCAGAAATACAATAGAGCTCTGGTGGCGTAGTGCCTAAGGCATTTGACTAGTAATCAAAAGGCTGGCGGTTCAAATCCACTCCTCGGAAGGAAGGTTGGGCAATCTACTTCTGTAGTGATACTGCCTCGGAAACCCAAGAAGGGGCCGCTAAGAGTCTGATCCAACTCCATGGCAGTGGGCTTGGGCAAGGTACACAAGAAACTCAAAGGACAGAAAAAGAGAGAGGATCTCTCTAAAGCCTCATTACAAATCATCTAATCATGGCAGTGACTTATTATTTTAGCCTGTGTCTTGGACATCTGTTAAAATATGTAACTGATGAAAATCAATTATGAGGGTCATATAAATGGATGTTTTAATATAATCCTGGAAGTCTGGGTGAAAAACATTGCTCTACGGCATGTAACAACAACATAGTAAGCAAAAAGGATTTTCCTTCAGGCCACTTTTAGTGATCAATGCCTGATTTCACAAAAGGGTAGGTGAGCCATATAGTCCTGGGCCATGTAGCACAAAATCATTTTTGTCCCATAATGCAGTATTTCACCAAAAGCTTTCAATTTCATAGTCGATACATTTGTATATATTCTATAGTACCCTAACCACAGTGCTATAAATTTTCAATCTAACTGTCAGATCCTCTAAGTCCCTGAAGGAGGTCTGGTGGCACAATGGTTAAGGTAATCAAAAAGTTGGTGGTTCAAACCCACCATCTGCTCCATGGGTAGAAAATGAGGCTGCCTGCTTCTGTAAAAATTTACAACCTTGGAAACCCTATGTGGCGGTTCCACTCTGTCCTATAGGTAGCTATGAGTTGGAAACAACTCAACATCAGTGGGATTTATTTTATAAGGGCCTGGGGGGTGCAAATGGTTAATGCACTCATATTACATTACATATGCATTAATGAACGCTTCAAGCACCCCTGAAGCTGTCTAAAACCCATTCCACAAAAGGATAAAATAGCGGACAAGGCGAAGCAAAAGTCACATGGTAAGTCTGTATGAGATGCCAGATTTACACAGACCACCTCTCTGGACCTAACTTCAACACAGCCTCTTCTCTACAGCACTGGAGAGGGAGGACTTTCATTTGAGGAGTTCTGCCCCTCTCACATGCGGGACTGACTTACAGAAAGCACCAGGGCCAGCAACACAAGAGCTGCTTCTCCAGCGTGGATTGCACACCGCTATCTGTGCATCCCCAAGTCCTGCAGCCTTCTTCTCAACACATTTCATGGCTCGTTCTTCAGCTCTGGCTGTTTCAAAGTCATCAGAAAAAGGCAAAAATGTTTGCAGGCACCATTCCTCAAAGGTTAAAAAAAAAAGCATTGATGATAACTCAACGAGAGTAGAGAGGTAAATCCCGGGTGCTCCAGCCTAATGGATGGAAGGGCTCTGGAGCCCTGTCCTGTCGCATTCAGCCAAGGTAAGGACTGGCAGGTTTGCAAGAGGGGGACGTAAGATAACCCAGAAGCCATGCTGCTGAAGATATCCCTGCTCGGAAGAAAGAGCAAACTTGCTTTACTCCTAAATGCCACTTTGGAGATGAGACCCACTCCTGAGGTCCTGACCCCTTGTGGTCTTTAACCATAAACCAAAACAAGGATGTGGGTGTCAGATTCCCTGGCCCGAGTACAAAGAAGGCAAAAATTGTTGTTGTTGTTATGTGCCATTGAGTCAGACCCCACTCATAATGACCCCTCCTTGGGTTTCCGAGGCAGTTATCACTACAGAATTAGATTGCCCAACCTTCCTTCCCAGGAGTGGCTGGTGGGTTTGAACTGCCAGCCTTCTGGTTAGCAGTCAAGTAAGTGCATTAGGCACTACGCTACCAGGGGTCCTTGGGCAAAAATTAGTTCAACCTAATTAGTAAAATTAAAGTTTTAAGAAAACCAACCCTTCTTCTCATCACTGCCCACCTCCAGAAAAAGCTTTGATTCAACAGAAAATGTAGAGATTTAAATTTATCTTGAAGATAAAGAACACACAATGGTTTTATTGTATTGTGGGTGTTTCCCAAGGTAATGTGTAATTCAGCTTTACTAAGGTGAAATCTCCGCTCCAGCCCCTTAAGAAGGATGAAGAACCCCATGGTCCTTCTACAAAATTCGGTGAGACTGCGTTAGAAGACGCAGAAAGGTTAGACTTCATCTCGGGTTACTCCACCGTAAGCCAGACAAAGAAATTCCTGAAAGGCTAGGAACATTTTTTTCTTACAAGCACCCACAGGAATAGGTTAATGTAAATGTCGTATCAACAAAGCAGCTCGTTACTAACCAGTTTACATTTCTTGTGTAAGGAAAATTTTAATCCATCACAACTGCACCCAACATTCATACATAACTTGCCACTGAATAAGAGTAAATTATAGCTTCATAATTGACCCTAGCCTCAGGCTTTCCTCATGCTTGAAAAGCAAAAGGTGTTGGGGGTGGGGAGGAATCTGGGTGTTTGCTAGTTCTCCTTTTCTGTCTGTGATCAAGGGCGAGAGGACTTTAACTCCCCTTCCAAGCACTCCCACAGAGCCACCAGTGTGGAGGAAATCCACAGGCAACAATTAAACCTTTCGCTGCAGAACCGAGTTCCCACCCTGCCCCTGCCTGTTCCAATCAGGTCTGTGGAACGTTTCCCCCATTCTGCATGTCATGAAACAATTGCAAAATCTGCCAACCTCTGCCAGTTCATCTTGCACTCAGCTGAGAGGTTCCCCTTCCCTCCCCGGGTGGCACAAGGCTGCTCTGGTTTTTAACTGACGCGACGTGGAAATGCACTGTAGCAACTCACTAACTCACAGCCAGATGGAATAGAGAGGCTGCAGTACCAACTCCACCTACTAGGAAGCTGACCCTCCCAGCCCAGGCAAAGACAAGTTTGGGGGAACTGGTTGTGACCCCATGTCCAGTGTGCCAGTTAAGGTTTCTGGAAAGGAATAGGAAGAGCTAGAAAGGTTACAAAGTAACCAACTCAGTTACTTAGCAACTGGACAAAACTTGTCTCACTAAGGAGTGTGAAGAGGCATCTGAGCCCATTCAAAGAGTAACAGTCTAGATTTACATGCAAATACAGACAGACAAAGGGGAAGGGGAAATCTAAATTAGCAACCAGAGTTTACAGGGCTGGGGGGTTGCTGTTGTTAGGTGCCAGGCTGAGGCCCACCTAGAAAATCAAGTCCTCCGGAAGGAGACAGGATCTATTCATGTGTGAATGAATGAATGAACGGCCCAAGGAAAAATCAATAAAGAGCCCAAAGGCCCCAAAGAACTTTCTGTCCCTGTTGGTAAAAGTCAGTGACATGGGGGTGGAGACAGGAGGGCATACAAAGTTTAGTATCTAAGATTAAAATCCTTCCACTGCTTACTAGGAATTTCAAATCTTAACAGAAAGAAGAAAATCTGAGGCTAGGAAATCTCGCTCAAAGCACTGAAAAAAGCACTTACTCCTGCTCATGAGCAAAGCAAACAAAGCATCAATCCGGGGAGAAAGTCTTCGGACTGTGTGTGGACGCAGAGCCTCTTGGGGTCTCCAGATACCCGCAGAAACACCCTCCCGCGCCTACTGGTGAAGCACAGTTTCCAAACTTGCATCAAACCCACCCCTCCACACCAGCCGCGTCCTTCCGAAGGCTCTAAGCAAGAGGGAGCCACTGTCACCTCTTTGGCTCAGGCAAGTGCTCAGGGTTTTCACAAGAGCTCAAACTCTGTCCCCAGCTTCCAACCACACCTGAACCGGGATCCTCAGCGCCAGGCTCAGAGCCGGACAGGAGGCTGACCGCCCCTCCTCGGATCCCACCTCGCACCACCCTGCCTCACCCCTGAACCCAGGCGGACAGGGCGAGGGCCCGACTCGCAAAGGCACCAGAGCCAAGCCACTTACTTCTCGTACTCGGTGTTGTCTCGGTCACAGCGAGAATCCTTGTGCTTTTGCCAGTCTTTGCCATGCTTGCAGGTGGTAAGGAGCAGGACGTCCTCCCCGTTATGGACATGATATAAGGCATTCCTGGTGTCTGACCCTATCCCTGTCAGGTACCTTTTCCCCTTGAATACCAGCATGTACTTCCTGAGAGGAGGGATGGTGTTAAACTTCAAAAACCCCCTCTCCCCTCCTGTCCTGGGATGATCCTTAGAAAAGAGGGGGATAGAAACATCAAAGTTGGGTCGGAAGTTCTCAGTACTGATGCTGGCCTTGGCGAGCATAGCCTGGCCGATGTCAAACCCCACGTCCTCGGTGTAGTCAGGCCAAGTGCCGGAATATAAATTAAAAATTAAATGATTCCTACCATTGTTCCACAAGTGGAGACTCTGCACTTTGGATCTCAAATTGTGCACATACTGAGGCGACAACTGGTCTCTGTCTAAAGTATCCAGACTCAGGACAAAGAGGCACGCCTGGCTGGGGTCCGAGGTGTAGAACCGGGAGCCCTCGATGGCCGCTAGAATGTTTTGGTAACTTTCGGCGATTTTCTCCCCTTTCTGCTGCGGGTACACGTAGACTTTGAAGCCGTTTTTCTTGCAAAGGGTGAAATCGAAGCAGGATTCCATGCGGCACTTCTTGCCTTTGTAGATGCTCGAGTTGGCATCTCGCTTCTGCCGGTGGGAAATGTGCACGTTGGAATCCTCGTTTTCCAATTGATCCCAAGGAACGAAGGGGCGCAGAGCGTCCGGGAAGCGGGGCCAGAAATGATCCGGACTCGGGTGGTGCAAGCCATTCCGACCGCTGTGCCCCTCTCTCCGGCTGTGGCTCTTTGCTGCCCTAAACTGCAAGCCTCCGAAATAAAACAAAAGGGCGAGACAAGAGACAGCTGAGAGGATGAAATAGCGTTTTTTGGCCTGCATGTGTCCTGCCTGGGTCAAGAGGATTGTAAATAAACACAAGAATCACCCAAGTTTCCCAATCAACACTTTCAGCTCCAGTCCGCCATCTTCCCGCCTGTAAAGACTTCAAACTCTCCGCTCCCACCTTCTCTGGATGCCTTTCCCCAAGCCGTGGACTGATCCAGCGCATGTGGGCGATTTCGTTAACTTTCTCCCCTTCGGTCTTTCATCTTTGGCTTGCACAACGGACGGGAGAGAGCGGGGCGGAAGATCTCGCACCCAGGGCGGGCGAGCAGCGAACGGTAATTTTCTTGCATGCAACAAGACGGAGGACAAGAAAGCGAGGGGAAAAGAAAGCTCCCGATACCCAATCAATGGCCAGCCGGAGTGGCTGCCTGGCCTCTCGGATTCCTCCCGGCGGCGTGGACTAGCAGCCCCGGGAAAGCAACTTCAACTCATCCACACTCCCGTGCAGCGCCGAGCACTCCGGTTCCAACAAGTCAGTGGGTTCCCGGGTCAGCCGCCTAGTGCATCTTGCAGCCGGAGCGCCGTAACCTCACAAATCCCTGCATCGCTCTTTATTCCCTTCTGCAGCGGCTCCAAGTCTCCGCCGGTGTTTACTCCAGGAGCG